GGGCGGCTGAGACCATGTGTTGTTTGGTGTCGAATTGAGTATAGCCGGCGCCGATGGAACTTACTGGGTTCATCATCTGACAGTGCACACCTGGCGTTCCGGCCTCCCTTTTGACCGAACGGCGACGCGCGGTGAAGTAAAGTACTCCTCCGTGACCGACGAGGTACGGTATTTCGCCGGCCAACGGGCAACGCGCCGCAGACGGCTGGACAGAGGTTCGTTGCCGCAAGCTCAACGAATCTGTCCGTGCACCGCAAAACCAGACCCGCGTCGACCCATGGAAAAAACAAACTGGACCGTGCTGGCCAGGCGGTGCATTTTGGGCCACGACCTGGGGCTGCCAGTGATAAAGACAAGCACAAGTCCAATCCAAATCCAATTCAAACGGGAATACTAATTTTTTGGGGGGGAGGATTGTTGGCGCCCGTCCGATGGGACATGATTCCATCGGACGGTACCGAATGGTCCAGCAGAAACGCACTGCACTCCCATCGTATCACTGCAGTCCTTTCCCATCTGCCTCGTCCCGCCATGCACACGTATCCTACCCCTGCTCGTCTCGCCCTGCCCCACCTCGCACCTTCCCCCCTGACCCCCTCCTCTCTCTCTACACAGGCAGGACCCGGGAGTCGGGATGAGGACGAGCATGCCCCGTCCGCAGGACCCCAGGCGCGCCGTGCACGCCATCCGTCGAGCCCCGGCTCGTAGCGGCCCTTTCCCCCGGTGCCCGAGCCATACCCACATGACACTCTGAACATACCTCTGAAACATGGAACACTTGCAACATGAAACACATGAACGCAACATACGTCTGAAGCAGATAAAATATTTGGAACATACATTTGCAATATGTGTGTAAAACATATGCAACATATAGATAAAAACACTTGCAACTTGCAACATGAAAACACTTATTGCAACATAAGACTGAAACAACTGAACCATTTCGAACATATTCTTGCAACATATGTGTTAAATATATGCAACATCCGAATAAGCACATTTGCAACATACGTCTGAAAAAGCAGATGAAACATTTAGAACGAACGCTTGCAACATGTGCAACATCACGACCTATTTTTGCAACATCCATATGAAATACTCGCAACATACCTCAAAAAACATCAGAAAAATTAAAACATACTCTTGCAACATGCGTTTTCAACGCAACATCTCTTTGCTGCTCGGCAGAATGGAGGCTCATCGGTGTGTGTTCACCGGTGGCAGTGGTTGCACATCGCGAGGGGAGGCATCGGCCGCACAAGCGACAGGGAGGCCACGGCCGCACGACTTGGAGAGGGCAGCAGCGCACCGCGCCTGGCAGGGTCGGTAGCCGAGCTCCGCGACTCGGAGGCGGCCGCGCACCGTGCCTGGCAAGGTTAGTGGCCGAGCGATGCACCTCGGAGGTGGTCGCGCGCTGCGGCCAAGGGCGGAGCCAGGAAGTTGATTTTTTGAATGTCAGGGGGGCAACAGTGTTGAATTTTTTGCGTCAAAAAAACAGTGTTGAATTTTCAAATTTTATTCGAATTTAAAAAAAATTAGTGGAAAATTCATGTTGATAGGGGGCCTGGCCCTGCCCGCCCCCTTGTCTCCGTCCCTAGAGGCGGTAGGCAAGCGAATAAGAGCGATAGGAAGAGGAACAAGTGGATAGAAATAAGTAGATAAGCAATTTATTTTTTGAGAAACGAAGGAGCGTGGATTGTTGGACTGCCGTCGTGGCCCAACAACAGAGCGTACGGGCGTCTGGTTCAGAGCATTACCGTTTTTTAAGTGGAGAAGTCATGATTCAAATCTTCAAGCTCATGTTAAGTGTGTTTGGATGAGTTAGCTGCAGCGTAGGCCTGTTCAATGACAGTCTTTTGCGGGTTTCTGTAGTTTCTAAAACCAACCCATGCAAACGACGGATCAGGCAGTATGGTTTTGATGGTTGGAGCGGTTTAAACCATGGCTTTGTCGTCGAGCGCCGCCGCCCTGTCAACTAAGGCCCCGTTTAGATGCGAAAATTTTTGGCTTTTGGCTACGGTAGCACTTTCGTTTGTATTTGACAAAAATTATCCAATTATGGACTATTTAGGCTTAAAAGATTCGTCTCGTCAATTACCGGCAAACTGTGCAATTAGTTATTCTTTTTACCTACATTTAATGCTCCATGCATGTGCCGCAAGATTTGATGTGACGGGGAATCTTGAATTTTTTTTGATTTTGGGTGGAATCTAAACAGGGCCTAATTCGACGATATCAAGCGCATGATGCCCATGGCGGGATGAACGTTCGAGTAGTAGCGGCAGCAAGGTGTCCACCTCAACCTTCTTGGGGTTCATGCCCACCTCTTTTTTTTAGACGAAAGAAAAATTATATATTATATTACAACTGGTACATCATCAGAGTATAAGTACTCTACGCATGGGCGGACGTTCGAGTAGTAGCGGCGACAAGGTGTCCACCTCAACCTTTTTCGGGTTCACGTCCACCTCTTTTGTATCGACGAAAGAAGAATTATATTATATTACAACTGGGTACATCATCACAATACAAATACTCTGCAATACACTATATATATATATATATATAAACTGATTTTTATCTAAATTGTACCCACGCTGTGAATAGCTCAAAATCTCAAATTCAAACATGTATGACGTTTCGTATGGAAGGCCGCATAGTCAAACACTCAGTAAAAGGCATGAGAATAGATGCCCAACGAACGACGGCCAATATTGTTGTAGGCGGAGTTGAGAAACTTCTTCTTTCTTATGTCTTCCTTCTTCTTCTTCTTTCTGCCACCGAAGAATGAGCAAGACTGATCTGAAACTTGTTCTCCCTAGTCCTTCATTGTGGGCATATCGAACAACAGCAACACATCGCTCCTGGCCGGTTTTGGCGACAACAACCCTTCTTCTTCTTTTCTGCCACCGAAGAATGAGTAGGCCTATGATGTCTGAACATCTGAACAATGTCTTGCATCTCCTCTGTAAAGAAAGAACAATGTCCTGTACACACAAATGTATTTAGCTTGTATTTGTCATTTCACATTACTCACAATTTAGCTTGTTACTATGTTGCTAAAATTTATTTTGCATTTACAAGGATTTTCCAAGGCTGGAGAAATTTCAAGAAAAAGCATTCCCTTTCTATGATGATTTGGAGAAGTTGTATGAAGGTAATTGTTTAATATTCTTTTTTATGTTCAGACTCCTTGCATTGTTGTAATTCAAGTCCACACACACATGGAATTTGCTTTGAAGCCGGCAGGACCGCCACTTCTCTTAGATTTTGTGAAATTAGAGTTAATGGCTCATTATTTTTAGGTGGCTCCTGTTGGAATAGATTTCCCGTGAAGTTGTGAGATTGTGACTCAAATCTATTTTCATCTGGTTTGATTTGACTCATTTTTGGTAAGTCTCTTGTCTATATTGTCTGCGTACTATTCTGTTTACGAAACTCCTAATTTTTTTAGAGCAGCAATAGCTCTTCTGCAATGTGCTTCAGAGTTTCAGTACGCTTCAGCAACAGTCTTTTCAGTTTTCTGGAGCTCGGCTTGTCAATTGCGATTTTATCTGGCATATTTCTTCAGCTGCTTGCGTGGTTGTCTGTTCTCTCTAGGTCTTTATCTGTTTTAGCAGGAACAACACAACAGCATCAGCATGCTGCTCCAATGTTCCGTGACACCAGTTCAGGTTTTCAGTGTCCAGTCCATTTCAGGGGCACAGATGAACATGCATTGAGTGAATTTACCTTTGAGCAATCATCGCGTGCATACTTTTTATTTTATTTATCTATTCCATGGCTGATAGTTTCTTTATTAGTTTAAAAATCCATGTTTGATCTGAAGCAGTGTTCAACTTTGAGAAAATTCAGGTACCGCAGGACGTCAGTACCCATTAGTTCAGTTGTAGCTTCTGGCCACGGAAAGGACCAATATAAATTCAGATTTGTTTAGTTGTAGCTTGTGGCCATGGGAAGATGAGGGTGGTGATTCTTATTTGCTTTACGGCATCTAGCATCCATACATTCTTTGAGAGGCTTATATTTTGTTGCTACTGTTGAGTCATGGCGCTGCTGATGTTGACTTCTCTGTTCATGTAATTGCAGGCCTAATCATTCAAGTTTTGGCTATCATTGAGTCATGCGGCCACTGATGATTGTTGCAAGAGTTGATTGCAAAGATTTATGTGTGGATAGATTGTGCTTGTATATCTTTGGTTATGTAGTTGGATAAATGTACTGGATTTGTGCTGGACAAAATGCCTAGCTAGATCCTATTTATTCTTCTGTATCAACTTGTTCTGTTTGTGTAACCTAGCTAATAAGCTGGGGGAATATTGTAACGGCTAGTTTCTATGTAATCGTGCTGAATTTGTAAACTACAATAGCATTTCTTAAATCTTTGATTTTTTTTCTGATTATTTGAATGTATTTTCATTGTCCAGGATTTCTATCCCTGTGTCTTCCAAACGATGTCCGGGAATTCCTCCCCGATGGGGTTACTGTTACCTGGCGGGAAGAGTGTGGCATGTGCATGGAAGAAATTCCCTTTTGGGGTCTAAATGCACGTGCTTTTTCTACCCCTGTATCCAAAGGAGCCCTAAACGTAGAAGGGGAAAGTTGAGTATTTACAAAGAAGACGATGGAAGTTGAACCTCAAAGCAGGCACATGGGCAAGTCCAATCTGATCCTATCTAGGTACAGTTGCAGACATCTGACTCGACACGAACCACACCTAGCTCCAAACTGGAACTGAGCTTATTCACTATTCCACCAATGAGATCCAAGACACCAACCAATCGAAGCTGTGCATACTTCCCTGGCCCCTTCATGTGTGTAAGTATGAACAAAGAGAAATTGAAGTAACCCACGAACCAAAATGTGGCGATGGAGCTCGATGAGCCTGCCTAGCTATCTCGCTCTCAGCTACGTGTACGTATGTATGTACTAGCAGGCGATGGAGGTACGTACGTATAGTAGTCGATCATATACATAGACATAGGAGAGAAGGAAAGTCAGTCCCATTTCCTTGGGTCCGTGATGTTGATCTTCCAGTGCTGGTCCGCGTACCCGATCTCCTCGGCGACGTGCCTGTCCCAGGCGATCTCCACCTTCCTCCGCTCCGAGAGGCGGCAGGGCCCGCGCATGGTCTCCCCCATCTGGTCGTACACCTGCCACCACCGGGCGTGCGCCTCGTCGCTGGCGTACACCCGCTGGTCCGCCACGTTCCAGTTGCAGTCGTAGTCCCTGTAGCACGTCCAGGGCTTCATCCCCAGGTAGTGGATGGACCACACCTCGGCTGGGTCCGCCCGGAACATCCGCTCCTTGAGAGCGCGCTCACCCGTGGTGTTGGCCCAGAAGTTCTTGAGGTAGTTCACCCGCCGCGGAAGCCGGTGCCACCACACGAACACCTCGTTCAGGAACCCCTGGTCGCCGCCGTTGTACGACCGGATGGTCCGGCGGTCCCGGATGAGCGCGTCGAACGTGCACGCCGACGGCTCGATCACCATCACCCCGGAGTTGAAGAGGGAGCCGTCGTTGCCCACCGCCGTGAGCTGCGGGAACGCGAACAGCGCGTCCAGGCTGCGGAGCACCAGGATGTCGGCGTCCACGAACACCACGCGATCGTAGTCCGCCAGCTGCCACAGCCGGAACTTGCTGTAGTTGTACTCGTTGTAGGTGCCCCGCGTCGCGCGCGGGTTGCGGATGCGCTTGATCCGCCGGGGCGTCCACCCGGCCGCCGTCAGCGCGCGGAGCGCCGGCTTCGACACCGTGTGGTCGTGGAGGAGGACCAGGTCCCGGGTGGACCCCGCGCGCCGGATGCTCTGCGCCAGCACGATCGCGCCGCACAGGTACGTGTCCGACGAGTGTAGCACCGTCGCGTACGCCTCGCGCCGGGGACGCCCGCCCGACCACGACGGCGACGACGACGTCGACAGCTCCGACGACGCGTTGAACACCTCCTGGATCCCTGTGCACAGTGTACATGCTTGTTTAATTTATTTTTTGCGTGCACATGCATGTAATACTTATGTATTATTATTACTCCTATTTTTTTTGTATGAGCCAGGATCTCCTCATCAAATAGATCATGCCTTGCGGACAAGCATAAAAAAACAGGATATCGATGCATTTTCCTCGCTCCAATCATCACTTTGCTATGAATCTCCTCATCAAACAAATCGTACAAGTTTAATTATTGTTTTAAAGAAGAAATCTGAAAAGCTGAATAATCAATTAATCATGCTGTGACTGTGTGATAGAGGTCGGTACTAACAGCTAGCAAACACTATCTATAATTTATTTTCAGGGGAACCCCCCCGTCCCTTTATAAGCAATTGCTAGACAGTTCAGTTGTAAAACATGTCACCAATTGACACTAGCCCGTTCGCTTGTTGGTTTCAGCCAGAGCTTATCAGACAGCCAATAGTATTTTCCTCTCACAACAAATCAGCACCCGCCGGACTTATCAGTCCAGAAACCAACCAGCGAACACGCTCAATGTTACATTGATCTATCTATCCAGCGAAGCCTAGCTGCCAAAAGAAAGTTCTGCTGGTGGTGCATTGAAGTGTTCGTCAAGTCAAAACCAAACTAAATAAAGAGAGACGACATATACATCGACCAACGCAAGTAACCACGAATAGATAAACTTTGCGGCGTGCGTTCTGCTCTGCCTACGGTTGGTGATCCACCTGGTAGAATGCAGTAGCATGCAAGTATCACTAGGCGCCGCCGCACGCCGCCGCGTGCGTGCGTGCGTGCCCAAAGTCTCAAAGCCGGCGAGACCCGGAGAGAACAACCCTGCCCGACCGGTCCAAATTCCTTTTTCTCGAGTTTAATATATTTATTACTGGTTTAATTACATGCGCAAATTGGACGCAAACACTTGTTATTCCCGGCGTCCTCCTGTCAGGTTCTTGCAGGAGCTGAAATTGGTGGTTTGGAAGGCTCATACCCAGTAGGCCTAGCAGCTATCTGCTTATTGCAAGGACACTAGGACAGGTTTATTTTGGGGCTCTGCTTTGGATTACCCTGGTGACACTGATAGATCCATCATTACCTCCGGCTTTGGTATAAGAAACTTTCTTCCTTTCTTCGTTGTCTAGCAATAGTCGTGGCCCATATTAGAGCTTATTTGGATCCACCAACTAAATTTTAGCCGGCTAAATTTAGCTGCTAGAGATCTAAACGGCCCAGCTAAAAAATCAGCTAAAGTTTAGGTTAAAGTTTAGCTGGGTCTATTAGCTGGAAGATCCAAACACCCCAGCTAAAATTTAGCTGTGAGAATTTTTAGCTGGTTAAAGTTTAGCTTTGAAATTTTAGCTAGCTAAACTTTAGTTGGGTAGATACAAACAGGCCCTTAGCTCGAACATTGCCCACCAAGATTTTCCAAGTTGGGTAAGAATGGGGGGTTATACTGATTAAATATTTTTCTCTAATAAAATAAAGGAGACCGTTGAGTGCTGGCAAGAATCGATGCCTGAATTATTATCATGGGCTTTAGCTTGATCGTGTCCTTTTGCCACACATCTATCCCGACCAGATTCTACACACCCCATTGCATCGCCCGTCCCTACTGCCCAGATAAGCAAGCATCTATCTTATTAGCTCGATGATTGTATATGTGCTGTATACATAGAGCTTTAACATAATTCCATTAGGTGGCACGTTATGTCCCTAACACACACAGTACGTGTTGTAGCACATGCATGTTCTCGACATTATTATTTATATGCTAATGCAGTAATGCTCTCTTATCCTCCCACTATCAATAATGAATACTATACGTGGATTTATTCTCACGAATTAACAGAACCGACACTAATTGCTGTTCTTAGTATTACTTTTCTTTGAACGAACCCCTGTTTATTTCCCATCAGTATAATGAAGATGTTAGTGGTCAAACCAGTAGTGCAGATTATATTATGTAAAAGGTACTATACGCATATTTGTTCTTTTTTTCCTTGAACAAATCGCAAGTGATAATATTATGTTGAGAGTTATGTTGATGCTATCTCAGTCTTCTTTTCTGACTGTTCATTGTTGGTTTCAACCAAAAAAATCAGTCGACCAACAATTGTTTTCCTCTCACAAAAAACCAAAGTCTGGGTCATTAAACCAAAGACCAAAGACCAAAGACCAACCAGCGAACAGGCCCTTAATTTCCAGATAGATCACAGCATGTCGGTGCGGAGAATAATTCTATGAGATCGGCGGTCTCAACTCTCACGTATCTATCTTGCTCGTCCTGCTGCTGCGCCTAGCATGTTAGTTAGTACAGGACTACAGGCGCAACTACACATGCTTGCCTTGAATTGCATGCAGTGCAACTGTGAGTGTAAGCATGAAGCAGAGGTCATGGAGACCGAGCATGCATGAAGTATAGACGGAAACGTACCTCCTGATCCCCAGAGCGGCATGGCGAGGTTGCAGGACCCCACGGGCAACCGGAGCTTCTCCTCCAGGCGCTGCACGTCGACCCTGTACATGTACCAGTCCCCCTCCCGTCCCACCGCCTCGTCACAGCGGAACAGGTCCATCATGGGCTCGCACTGGCTCCGCAGCACCACGCGCACGGCCCCGCCCCCTTCGCGCCGGCCCTTCCGCGCCGCCACCTGCGCCGCCACCAGGTGCACCTGCAGCCTGAACACGTCGCGGTTCCACCCGGGCGCGCTGCGGTTGCACGGCACCGACGCCACCACCACGTCCACGTCGCCGCCGCCGTCGTCGTACCGGGACCAGTCCGGCATCGGGAGCTCCGGGCAGGACGGGCCCTCGTCGTCCTCCTCCTCGTCGATCCACTCCGGGAACAGGTCCGACCACCGGAACGTCTCGGAGACGCGCTCGAAGTCCACGCGCACCGCGTCGCCCTCCACGCCCAGCGCCAGCACCTCGTCGCGCCCGATGTTCACCAGGCCCATCCGAAGACGGCCACGGAGCTCGTCGAACATGGGCGGCGCGCGCCCCGCGTTCACGATCACGATGCGCTCCGCCGCCGCCACCTTGTTTGCCGCCACGCCTCCCAGCTGCATGCAACGCCGTCGTGAGAGAGCTGGGTCGTCACTCGTACTACGTACGTGCCGGTGGACTCACACTCACCTTACCTTCCGTGAGAGCTGGGTCGTCGACGACGGCGGCGGGCAGGAGTCGCGGAAGGTGCAGCGGACGAGGGAGGTGGCGCCGCGGTCGAGGATGTCCGAGTACTTGGGGTGGAGGAGGAGCGCCAGGTAGGCGAAGAGGAAGAAGGCGAGGAACGCGGCGTTCATCTTGACGATGACCGAGGCCCGCACCGGGGACTTGCAGACGGCCTCCCCGGCGGTGGTCACCCCCATGCCGCGCGCCCACTGTATCCGTATGTGTATGTGTGGCGGGCGTTCGCTAGCTAGCTCACCGGGCGCGCGGGCGTGTCGTCGACTCGTCGTTGTCGGGGGCGTACGTGCGCGCGGCGGCGTCGGTGGAGCTGGCTAGGCCGAGGCGCGTTGCATGCGAGGGATTATATAGGGGTACAACACGGTGCTGCTATGCTAGCTGGTCCTGGGCTCTTGGCGGGCGACGGATGGCGGATCGTGTGGAAGAGCTGAGGGCCCGTACGTGTCCGTGTGAGTGCGCGGCCGGCAAAGGGTGCGACGGCGGCCAATCAACGGTGGTTGGGCGTGGGGTGAGCTCGAAAGGACGGCTGTAACGAACGAGGGTCCACGTGCCAGAAGGTTCATCCGGCGTCGATCATGGACTACTGCCTGTCACCTCTAAGTGATTATCGCCCTGTTCGTTTGACTTATAAATAATATTTTTTTAACTAATAAATAATATTTTTCTCTCATAACAAATCAGTCAATAATATTTTTAGCCATGACTTATTAGTCAAGCGAATATGACATATATTCCCCGTCCGTAGCTGGACCTCAGCATTTTCTTGGTGAAAAATCGTGACTGCAACTGCACAAACGGCGCGAGGACGCGAATCCTCAGGGAGAAACGATTTCTTGTTTTTTAATCTCTCTCTTTATTAACTCTAGTAGCAACTCAGCATTTTGCTTAGCTGTCAAATCTATTTAAGATAGATAGAAACTACAATAAATATCTAATTGAGACTGTCTTTATTAATTTGCAGGATGAGTTAGGAGCAGTACTCCTGTTCTCTCTCTTCATTTATGACGAACTTTGTGGTGTGCAGTTGCAGTCACGATTTTCCACCACCCGATGTCATGTACAGTTGTACACTTCGTGCCTACACTTCTACGAATGACGACGACAGTTAAGCTTCATTTCGAACGAACAGTTAAGCTTCATTTCACTTAGCTGTTAGCTAGACAAATAGTCTGTCCATGCATGATTGATTAAGTGTTTTTATGACGATTCTTCTGAAATATTAGCATGGCTTTCGATCTTGATTAATTATTTCACGTTAATCCTCATCAACTAAAGTGATTCTCCTAAACATGCATCAAAATTACGCACCTCCTTCATTACAAAAGGTAATCTAATATACATGTCCAGCCGTCCCTTGAATTTACATCTAAACCACCCACTTCTACCACCATGAAAGGTAACAAAAAATAGTTGTACTAGATTTGCAGCTAAATAATTACATCTATGCTATTATTAAAATTAAATAAAACAAAACTTAAATTTACACCTAAACATATGCTATTATGAAAAAGATACCATATAATAATCTTGCCAATACTTGTAAACTACCCACTCCTGGTTTCTATATTTAAAAATTTGACATGGAAATGAAACTACAAGCTATACCCCACCATGCACACCAATTATATAAAAGCATGAATAAGAGATGATTATATTTCTATAGTTTAGTAAGCATGAAAAAATATTTTGTTAACGAATCACATACGAACAACACTAACAGCATACTTAAATTACGAATAGTCTCTTGAAATCAATTATGTAGGTCACTACTTTAGATAAAAATATACATTTTGATCAAAATATTATAGTATGTCTACATTTATACATTAATGGTAAGCACTTCTTCTTTTTTATTAAAATATATTCAATTAATTTGTAACCATAACTTGTCCCAACTAGACAGATTGTTATGAAATAAATAGAGAGAGAGCCCAGGTAAAGGAAACTTTAATTTGCCGTGTATGCAAAACTTGTCCATATGCTTTTCATACTTATATCTTCTAATATAAGATGTAGCCTATGCAGGCGCGTAGAGGAGTCGCGAACTATAGCAGACAAAGTGGTACAGTGGACGCTACACAACATCGTGATCACATAGAAAAATATCAAATATACTGTATAAAGAATAAAGGTAAACATATTTATTATCAACAAGTATTCTAACATGTGCACAAAATCTGCAAACAATATTCTTCTTCATGGGACCATTCAATACATAAGTCCCTTTTTATTTGGTTTTCATTCACATTTCTCCATACTCCCAAGTTGGTTCCATGGGTTAGGTCGATGTATTTTAGTTGCAGCAGTTAGTTCACTGGCAGCAATAGGCCTTTTGCATAATGAGCTGAAATAAGAAACGCTAGTTTGTGCTACATTTGATTTGACTCTACCATACACATCGACGCACATATTAGGTCGTCAATGCATTTTAATTGCAGCAGCTAGTTAGTCCCTCTATTCCAAATTAAAACATTTTGACTTTTCTAAATATAAAATTTTTACTAGACTAAGTCTAGATACATAGTAAAAATAATAAATTTATTTATTAGGTGGGTACCTCCCCATTGAAGTTTAGAAAAAACAATATATAAAAGACAAAACATTTTATAATTTGTAATAGAGGTAGTTCACTAGTAGCAATCGGCATTTTGCATAAAAACCTGAAATATTAAGAACCGCTCTGTTGACTCTACCAGTATGGTTACACCTTTTAGTACCATGACCTAAAAAACAAACAGTCTTTTTTTTTTTTGAAATCGAACTGGAAGGAGCTCTGCCGCCGTCTAGTAGATAAATAAAGGAGAGCAGAGTTTATACAAGGGAATGCAAAGTTAAAAAAAAAAACTGTCTCACTGCGATACTGCCCCATAGGCCATTCCCATAGATGTGTTGATGAGTCGATGACATCAGTGAGTGAGCTAATCAAGGATTGGCCACATATATCTGAATCCGGCCGGGTTCAGTAACGCACCGCTAACGAGAGCTATAGCAATCTTAGTGGAATCTACAGGCTTAACCTGGCGTCGGAGTGTCTAAAATGATATATCAGCACTACATCATCAGTGCTATAGCAGGTTGCTATTCCAAACATCGCTGGCTTTACACGCATGCTTAAGCATGCTTATGCCAGTCGATCATTCTATGGAAAAAAAATTATATATAATACTACTGCTAGTATGGCTCGCTACTTGTGCTTGCATTGTTAATTGGGCATCTTGAGCAACTGACGAAGTATTCAATCAAACGTAAGTAGCTACAAGCTCCACTTCAAGTAGCAGTAGCTGCGACACACCCTTCCTACCTTTACGGAGTTTATGGTGGAGCCATTATTATTATTCCAATTTCATTCATCGAGACAAAGAAGGCTTCACGCGTAAGTACTGAATTAAAATACAGCGATCCAGGACAACTGAACCTCCATTTCTGCTTGGTGGTGCATATATACAATTCCGTCAGGCTCGTCACGACCACACAACCACGCCACATCTGTCGGGGTTGGTGCATCCTCCGGAAGCCATAATATATACATATATCTGTGATTTGGCCGAGATATATAGATAAGATAATAGATGCCGCTTATTAGTCGAGCGTGTATCTGCGTGACTAATGTGGTCAGGGTTTAATAATGATCGCTGATGTGGCGTCGCTGTTGGGGCTTGCACACCGACGCCGCATCAGCCCCTCTTCTTCGCTCGGGTCCTCGCTGCAGGTGGTATCAGGACCAGCAAGGACACCTGCAGCCCCTCTTCTTCGCTCGAGTCGGTGCGATCTTGGCCGTTCCTTCCTGTCCCAACGCCCCCCCAGACCGATCTCAAGTGGTACCTGCACTGCAGACAAAGGCTTGCATGGAATGGAAGACAAGGGCTCGCTCGTTTGGAACGCTGAAAAAAGAAATCATATGTAATTTTAGGATTTTTGTTTGGGAAAAAAAAGTTTGTCCTTATCAGCAGGATTTGATTGAAAACAAAAATGCTGTTAAATGCAATGGATGAAGAGAGGTACGTCCACTCCATTAATTGGCATAGATTAATAAATAAAGCCGGGAAACTTAAAGGCGGGGCGAGCTGCTATCAGATGGAAGTAAGTGGATCGATGGTGACCCTAGTACTATTGGTACTGTACATTCTGTTCATCCGGCCGGGAATTGAAAAAAAGAACCGGACTCAGACTTGTTTAAATTCAGGTGTAAAGTTTTGGAGGTGACACGTGGGGTTGCATGGGGTGTTCAGATACTGATAAAAAAAAATTACCGAATCCGTCATTAAACCGCGAGACGAATTTATTAAGCCTAATTAATTCGTCATTAGCACATGTGTTAATGTAACACCACATTATTAAATTATGGACTAATTAGGCTTAAAAGATTCGTCTCGCAAATTAGTCGCAAATTATACAATTGGTTATTTTTTAGTCTATATTTAATACTCTATATGTGTCTAAACATTCGATGGGATATGATATAAACTTTCAGGGAAGGAACTAAACAAGGCCTTAATCATTAGCCACGCCACACCCAGTTACCTGTAGGCTAGCTGCTGCCGATCGCCCTTGATCTTAACATCTCAATTGATCTTGATGTTGCATTGCATGCCTGCCTATACAACTGATATCCAAGATATACCGAATTTGTGTCCAAGCCTCCGAGCGCGGCATCTGTAACCATCACAATTAAGGCGTAAATAACTCACTGGTCCCTGCTGAAGCATGCATTCCACTTCCAGCACCATCTGAATTAATGACCATATAATTCCTAGTATCATATCCTACCAGCTAATGATCCATTCATCCATATCATTGCAGCTTTGATGAACACGGAACACTCCATCCTGCATATATCAGCCTCTGACTTCATCCCTTGCCTTTCAAGGACCCCATAATTAGCAAGCAGATAATCTACAAGCATAGGTAGGCCACTGACCACTGTTGCTGATCTTGGATGATCGGCCTGTTCGTTTGGCCGTGGCTTGTCGTAAACGATCGTAAATTTCTAGTCGGAACAGTATTTTTCTCTCACACAAATCAGCCAGCAATACTTCTTCACGAACCAGCAACGAAACGAACCGGCCAACCGACAGGCTGCTTTTATCTTCGCGTCAAAAGCTAGATATATTATATATATCCTGAGAAATGATGCTTTTCTTTTGGCGGTGCAATGAACGGACGAGCAATGACCGGTGGACCA